CCCTGCATCGGCAGGCGGACTCTCAACCACTGCGCCACCAGGGAAGCCCCTATAATTTCTGTCTCTTTATTGATATTCTCTATTTGATGCAGCTTTCCCATCATAGCTTCCTTTACTTCTTCTATCATGGTTTCCTTTAGTTCTTCGAACATATTTATAATGGCTACTTTGAAGTTTTGTCTGTTAAATCCAACATCTGGTCATTCTCATAGGCAGTTTCCATTACTTGCCTTTTTCCTGTGTATGAGTCATACTTTCCCATTTCTTTGTATGTCTCATATTTTTTGTTGGAAACTGGACATTTTAGATAATATATTGTAGCAACTCAGTATGGTGTCCCTCCCCTGGGGCATTGTTGTTATCTGCTTATTTATTGGTTTAGTGACTTGGTGGATTATTGAGTAAAGTCTATTCTACCCTCTCCCCTTAATGTGTAGCCTCTGATGTCGCTCCTCGGAGAGCGCAGGCTTGGTGGTTGTGGCCACAGTCACCCTGGAATGACAGTGGTTTTGGCAGGGCTCTCTTTGAGTCTCTCTTTCCCTGACCAAACACATCTGTTAAGCGCCACTAATTGCTAGTTAGTTGCACCACTGTTTTCATCACCGCCCTGTGGCATATATTGTTCCCAGGCTAATCCAATCAAATCTAGACTCCTTTGAAGGGACGGTTCCTGAGGTCAGTGTTTGAGATCTGTTTTGACCCCAGAAGGGCTCCTTACAGCTGTCTCTTTCCCTGGTTCTCTCTGACAAACTAACTAGCTTACATCTCCAATGAATCTACCAGCCTCCTCCCAACTGCCTGCCACCACAGCCTCCAGTGTTTCTGAGGGCACCTCTGGGCTTGAACTTCTCCACACTTTGCTGCAAATGAAGTCGATTCCTTTGAGAAGAGATTGGGAGCTCTCTGTTCTACAGCCTGCCTCTCCCTCTGGGCAAAATCTCTGTGCCATGACTCTGGAGCTGGGACTAGGGACAAGGGTGTGCTTCTCTCTGAATGGCACCCCTCCTTTAGGAGCTGAGTGCTCGGTGGAGGAGAAAGGCTATAGCCTCAGGCCTTCTTGGCTTGCCTCTCGCAGGATGGAACCTCTTCCTAGAAAGCCAGGGCAAGGGGATGGGGGCCCAGTGTTCTGAGTGGTGCCACGCCCCTGGTAGAGTGGGTGCTGGGCAGAATAGGGAGCCCCCATTTCTCGGCAACACTTACAATGCCTCAGCAGCAAGTAGCTGGGGGCAGGCTGACAAATGCTGACTTCCTGCGTGTTCTGGGAAGATGACCCCTGCCTTGGAGCTGAAGGGAAGGGACCTCTGTGTGCTGGGCTGCAGCAGCCTAGAGGGGAATTTCCATCCTGCTGAGCTGGGGGTGGGGATGGGGCAGGATCTTGTTCAAATACCAGGGACTCTGTTCTTACCAAGTTTTAGTAGAGTTTCTTGTATGTTTCTTCATTTGTTCTAAGCCTTCAGGACCATTTCCAAAGGGTGCCTGAGTGCTGTGATGAGCAAAGGCCTCCTGCCACCCACAGTGGACAGGTAGCACGAGGGAGACTTATTCCTTTACTGTTTTAAGCCACTGAGCGCAGGGAGTTTTTGTTACCACAGCAGATCTAGCTTAGTGGTTCTCAAGTTTGGGCATGCGTTAGAATCCCCCAGAGGGCTTGCTAAAATACCGAGTGCTGCATCTCACTGCCCTGAGTTTCTGATTCAGCAAATCTGGGTTGGTTCCAGAGAATTCACATGTTTAATGAGTTCCCAGGTAAAGGTGATGCTGCTGATACGGGGACCATACTTTGAGAACTACTGCTCCAGCCATCCTTTCTGATATCTGGGGATAAATAATAGTACAGTAGTGTTTACCTCGCTACAGAGTTGGTAAGGATCATTGCATTGACATCTGTAAAGCATTTAGAATAGTGTCTGGCATCCAAACAGCCTTAGCATTATTATTAACATGTCCCAAGGTTTTTTTTTCAATATAAGGATATTCTCAGGTGTTAAAAATTTTAATACTATTTGGCCTTTTACTGGAATAACCCAGATGACTAGACTTTCCAGCATTTTCAGCTGTCTCTTTTTATTACTTCTTGATCCGCTTATAGCTCAGACCAATTGCTGAGGAAAGATAGTCATCCAGGCAGGATTGTTAACTAGGCCTCATAATCTCGCCTGCTTTTCTAAATTGGTGTGCTGGCCCCTGCAGACCTAAAGGCAGCTCTGTTCCTCTCCCTGCTGGGCTTTGTGGCTGCGGTTACCCTCTGTTCCCATCAGGGCTAGACTAGGGGTGGGCCAGCAGCACCCACTACAAGACCCCAAACTAAACCAAGTCAGGAAGGAGGGGAGGTCAGTGTTTCTGCTGCTTCTTCCACGCCCTTTTCCAGTTGCGTAAGGAATCAGGAGGTTATCTGTTGTCTAGGAGGCTGTGGCCCAAGAGGAAAAGGCAAGGGCAGGTACCTTTGAACTCATAAGAGGGAAAGAATGCTGGGGCTGCCATAGGACAAATTACGATACTTCATACTTGGATGCATAATGTCTTGTCATAATCCTCCCAACGTTCCCTGTGAGGACCTCGGGTCAGGCACTGATAGTGACAGCAGCCAACAGCCTGTGCCATGTGCCATTAGCTCATTTAATCCTCCCAAGAGCAAAGCAGGCATCATTATTGCCCTCACTTTACAGATGGGGAAGCTACAGCACAGAGCAGTTAAGTATTTTGTCCAGGGTCATACAGCTAGTTGAGAGTCAGAGCCAGAATTTGAACCCGGGTGCTTCTAGAGTTTCCACTCTTAACCCTGTTGCTGTGGCACTGGGGTGTAAGTGCCATGTGGACAAGACCTCGGCCTGTTGTGCCCCCTGCTGTACCCCAACCCTGGAAGTGTGCCTTCCCCATAAGAGGTACTCCATCAACACTGGTAGAGTGGATGAGAGAATTCCCGATTTGGAGCTGGTCAGTGGAGACTGTCTGATGGATATGTGCTCATCAAGCATTTGTTGCACCGTGAGGCTCAGAGAAGAGGAACTCCTCTGAGGTCTCCTAGGGCGCCATGTGGCCGGAACCACTGCCCTGGTCTAATTAGACGAATTAACGAATTAAGTGCCTGCGGTCTCTGCCAGAGTGAGAGCCTTTCCCCTCAGCCCCCAGGGCATGGCCAGGTCCTGCTGGGCAGAGGCTGCTGCCCAGGAAGAAGGGTGTGGCTGGGGGGGGGGGCGCCAGGGAGGCAGGGCCCAGTGAGGGGAGGGGGAGGGGGAGGGGAGGGTACCCGGCCACCACCCTGGTCTGGTCAAGGCCAGTCGCCCACATCTTGGACATCACAGGAGAGAGACGCTGAAGGTAGCTCTGTGGCAATACTGAGCTTGGACACAGGAAAGAATTTGGGGTTTTCCCCTGTGACCTAGACCATGGGCTGTGGTGAGAGACCCCAGTTCAAATCTCAGCTTCTGCTTCCTCCTGTGTGAAAACACTGGTAATAACCTGCGGGGAGGGTTCTTTGTGCAAACTGATGAACATGATCACAAACAGCACTCGGCAGGCCCTTCCCCCATTGGCTCCCCCCAGACCTGAGCCCAGGCCTCATCCCTGAGAGGCAGCCTCTCCCTGCCCCCAGCCCCGTGGGAGGGGGTTTCCCAAAGAGAGGCTGGGAGGCTGGGAGGGTGTGATCATGCCTCAGATAGGTCACTTTGCTGGAAAACTGGCTTGCCGAGCAGGAACGGTAGAGGGGCGGCAGGGGGGAGAGGGCCCCGCCCCGTGTCATGCCTCCCACCCCCCAGGGCTCCAGTCTAGTGGTGGGGGGCGCATCAAGCGGGGCGGCCTGGGCTTAAGGCAGGTGCAGTGGGCCCCAGAACTGTGGGGTCTTGTTTAAAAATGCAGTGTCCCCCTCCCCCCACACACAGAGTCCATGCCCGGGAGTCTCCACCAATTGCTCTGATGCAGACCTCAGACTGCCCTTTGCGGTGCACTGGCTGAGGGGTCTCCCCCGATATCCAACCCTGCTTCAGGGTTGCCCTGAGTCCCTCCTTCCCCTTGTGCCTGTTTCATCTGGTGTCAGGTAGTGGACGGCCTCATGGTGATCCCGGATGCTTATTTGGGGTCTCCAGCCTAAGTCCCCAGCCCACTGGCCCCAAGCCTTATTCCTCACCCACTGCTGGGCTATGACCCTTTCCCCACCTTGACCTGGTCGAGGACGTGTGCTGTCCCCTCTGTGGCTAGCCTGAGTCAGCAGTCTTGGCCTGGTGGGCAGAGCTTCGGGGGGCCTACCGAGCAAACCCTCCATCTGGGGCATCCCCCTGTGGAGGTGAGGGGCCAGCAGCAAGCCTGATGCCCGGCGGGGAGGAGGAGGTGGAAACTTTGTCCCAATGACCAGAGGGCGGAGGGCTTGGCGGGGCCAGCTCTGTTCCATGCACAAGCATGTGCAGGATGCCGTGGGGCTATTTTTACTCCTGTCAAGGAGACAGTGTGATTTATGGGAAGCCTGGTCCCCTTCAGGGCTGTGTTATAAATACACCTGGCCCCATGCTCTTGTTCACTGGGAGGGGAAACTCAGGCCCCGGCCTCTCTCCTGCCTCCCTCCCTGCCTCACTGGGCTGTGTCCATACGTGGCCTTTTGGGGGGCGTCCTTCCCCTATGCAGCTGTCCCCCTGTGGTGGCCCAGCTCTCCTCAGTCACCAGGGCCTCAGTGTGAGTTTTTCAGATGCTTTTAGGAGTGACGGTTATCTGCGAACTGCCTTTGATGAAGGGAAGAGGAGAGAGGCTTCAAATCTGGGGTTCACACTTCCTTCAAGGGCCGGATATAGGTAATAGGAAGGGGAAAGGGGCACAGGTAGGAGGCTTAAGAAAAACTCTGCCTCTCTCCCAAGATGTACTCATCTGCCCAGAGTCCCCGCCTGGAAGGTGGCAGGCCAGCTGGAGAGGGGCCTCTCTGGGCCCAGGACTGGTCCCTGCCCACCCCCCTCCTTCAGCTGTAGAAGGGCAGACAGCCCTGGCGTGGGAAACGGGGGCTGGTCTGGTCTACTCACCGGCTGTGTGGTCTTCCGCAAGTCCTTTAACTTCTCTGACCCTCAAGTGTTTCTTCTGGAAATGGACGCAAAGATGCCTGCCTTCTGGATCGATGTGTGTGACATGCAGGCCAGGCTGGGCTGACAAGGGAGATATGCAGGCAGGCAGCCCAGCCTGTGTCTGACATCATCCCCTTCCTCTGAGGAACCCTGGTCCCTCATCTGCAGGGGCACAAGGGCAACACTGATCAGAGAACCCCCCTCCTCTGTCCTGCCTGGAGGAGGGACAGGAGGTAGGGCTGCTTCTCCATGAGCCCCTGGGGCTCAGTTCCTTCACTCTTGGGAGGCAGGGATCATTCAATGCAACATCCAGTCCAGACAAGTGGATGTTCAAACCTGGCCAGGACTGGTCCTCTTGTAGAGGCTAAGAGCTATAAGCGGGGGCTTCCCTGGTGGCTCAGTGGTTAAGAATCCTTCTGACAATACAGGGCACATGGTTCGATCCCTGCTCCGGGAAGATCCCACATGCCACGGAGCAACTAAGCCCGTGCGCCACAGCTACTGAGCCTGCGCTCTAGAGCCTGCGAGCCACAACTACTGAGCCCACCTGCCAGAACTACTGAAGTCTGCGCACCTACAGCCCGTGCTCCGCAACAAGAAGCCACCACGATGAGAAGCCTGCATACCGCACCACAATGAAGACCCGACACATCCAAAAATAAATAAATAAAATAAATTTACAAAAAAAAAAAAAAGAGCTATAAGGGGCCTCAGAGTTCATCTAACAGTACCAGTCGGATGTCAGATATTGCCCCAATAATGCTGCGGAACAAACCACTCAAGTGTTTACTTGCTTATGCTTCTGCCAGGCAGCTGGGCTTGGCTGTAAGCCCGGTTGGGTCCCGCATTCTCCATGGATCTCTCAACCTCTTAGCTCAGGTGGGCTGGCCAGGGCATGCGCTTCCTATAGGGCTAAGACAGGAAGCCCAGGGGGGCAAGCACTTCTCAAACCTCCTGTTCACCTCGTGTCTGCCTACCTTGCATTGGCCAAATCAAGTCACGTGGCCAAGCCCAACCTAAATGGGGTGGGGACACACTGCTCCCCTGGAAGGGCGTCAGAGGGGAGGGAGTGACTGCTGCTGACTGATAATCTAATGAACTGACTTTCCAGCTCTGCACTGCATGACGGTCGGGGGTTTCTGGACGTACTTTGGGGCAGCGAGAGGGAGAAGGGGCAGCTTGGGTGCAACATCTCCCACCCGGCTCCATCCAGAGCCGTGAAGAGCCTTGCAGGTGGGGAGTGGGGGAGGCGCTTAGTTATTCATGTGCTCATTCACTCTTGTGCATTTCTGAGTCATGTCCTTTGGTCAGCCTTGGGGAGGCCAGGATTTGTTACTTTGTTACGGAGGCAAAGAGAAAGAGGGAACACAGGGGCCCCTCTGACGCTCAAACATACGATCTCGCCGTCTTGAAAATGAGTGAACTTAACGCCAGTGTCTCCCGCTGTAACTTACCGGGGTCCAGGCTTGGTGAACTATCCGTTTTCTGTAGAGATTATCATGAGGAAAACGGTCCCATCGAGAAGAAGGGGAGGGGTCTTCCACTTCCTGGACCCTGGGAATCATGGGAGAGGAAGTGACGAGATTGGGCGTCCGGGTTTGGGCGTCCCCACCTGGGCTTCTGCCGGGAGGGGCAGTTGCGAGGGATAAACGGAGAGGGGCGCCACGGGCAGTGCTCTCTTGCGCTGCCACCCGTGGGGACTCAGCCACGTCAAAGCAGACACGGTGGCCGGCGTGGTCGGGCCGGGGAAGCCCGGGACGCAGAGCTCTCCGAGGCCTTCACGTGGGTCCTACAGGAGGAGCCCCTGGGTTAAAAGCCAGCGGGTCAGCCGCGGGGGCAGTCCACAGGCACCAGCAGGCGCCAGCCCAGGTCGTGGGCAAGCAGGAAGCTGGACCCTTCGCCCTTTCCCCATATCCAGGCCACCCTCTTTGTTACCCTCTTTGTTACAGAGAAGAGGTGTGTGGAAAGTGTGGCTCTCAGAGAGACAGGGTTTGTTCTAATCTATGAGAGACTAAGAGCCACTTAAACGGGCTTCACAGAGCAGACATACAGGATTCCTGCCCAGCCTCCAGGCCCCTGCCCGTCACCCTAATGCAGCCCCACAGAGTAATCCTGCTGGCATCATCCCCCGACACACGTCTGAGCAGTCTTCACTCTCTTGCTTAACACGTGTGCCCATCCCCTTGCCCACAGGGCTGAGACCCACTCCGGGCAGCCCTCCAGGCTGGCAGCCCCTCCTCAGCCCTTGCTGCAGCTGGTGGCGTACTTCCTTCCCCAGGTCAGCCCTTCGAGGCGGCACAGCTGGGACGGGAGCCCAGGGAACTGCCGTCCACCCCAGAGCCCTTTCCGCCGTCAGCTGCTGTCTCCCCTGCCCGGGAATCCCTGCCGGGGGTCCCTGGCTCCTGGGCTTCCTCTCTGGGGGCAGCCCCTGGCTGAGGGCGGGGACTGGTGGCACGGAGCGGCCCAAACCCTCCGAGGTCCTGCTCCTCCGGGGGTCAGCAAAGCTCAGCGGGTGGGGCCTCGGCCTCCCCGTCCCAGGCTCGCGGCTCCACGCCACCTGTGGCCATGGGGCTGGGGTGCAGGGAGCAGTACCCCGGTACCCTGCTTTCTGACCCCGGCCCCAGCTTCTCCGTATCTGTTTATTTACCTTGGAAAAGGCCCTGTGGCCCAGGCAGGAAACGGGCCAATTCCAGGAGGCTCGCCGGGCTGGGGAACAAGGAGCCACATTGTGCTCGGTTCCTGGCCACTCCCCACCCTGGGCCTGCGAAGAGCCCGGAGAGGGGGACCAGTTGGGGGCCTGGCAGGAAGGAGGCGTGGGGGCTGAGGGCTGCCAGCGCGCCAAGCCCGCCCGCCGGTGAAAGGGCTTCTGTGCAGGGGTGGGACGGGGGGCTGCCGAGTCCCCACCCCGCCAGTGAGCGGATGAGGCGGGGATGCTGGGCGGCGGCCCCTCGTCACGGCCTAGGGCCCACCAGGCACCGACCTGCCGGCCACCGACCTGTCGGCCCAGGGCAGAGGGAAGAGACCCGGGGAGCCGGCTGGCCCTGGTGCCCCTGGCTTCTCTTGGGCAGACGCCACCCCTCAGTGGAGGGACATCCTGCCCTCAGCCTCCCCTCCCCTGTCCCAGCTCCTGCCAGGCAGCTGGTCCGACCTCAGGCCTCCCTGCCCGGCAGAAGCTGGAGGCAGGAGAGTCCTGCGGTCAGAGCCTGGCCCTGGCTGATGAGGCCCAGGCTGGCGTGCGGCTTGATGTCGTCATGGGGGCACTTGGGAGGGCTGACCCCTCCCCAACCCTGCACTCTTCCTCACTGACCGGCTGGTGTCCGTACGGGCTGACCTTCCATCCATCCATCCATCCGTTCATTCATTCAACACGGGGCTCCCTTCCTCTCTCTTCCTATCGCCCCAACTTGCAGTGACAGCGTCCTCCAAGCCCCCTTCCCCGGTTCCCAGCGTGCTGTTTGAGAAATGTAGATCTGATTACATCATTCCTGTCTCTCAAGGTCTTCAGAGACTTCCTACTTGTTTCTGGGCAAAGAGGTTCACAGGCCCTTTAAGCTCAGCCCCACCTGCCCCTCAGGCCCATGAACACCAATGACTGGGTTGAGGGCGGGCAGGGGACTTGAGGGGGTCAGAGGTGAGATGGATTTCTCCCACCCAGCACTGGGGGGGACGGGGAGGGGCTCTGGGTGGGCATGTCCTTCCAGTTGGAAGGGAGTCCGAGGGACCTCAGAATGGGGATGAAGACCTGAGACAAGAAATGTGCACGGCTGTCACCTGGCCAATGCCTCCGCGTCCTTCTAGGACAGCCCCTCCCAGCTGAATTGCCACCTCCCACCCCCACTCAAGGCATCACTCTCTGCCCCCAGCCCTGCTGTCCTCGCAGCCAACATCACTCCATGTATGTGTTCATCTCCAGATGGGCAGGCTCGATGTTGTAAAGATGTCAGTTCCCCCCAAGGTAATCTATAAACTTCCATAAATCAATCTCTAAATCCAGTAAGATTATTTCTGGGACTAGATGACAAAGTTCATCTAGAAGAGAAAATGAGGAGAAAGAGGCAAGACAATCATCAAAATAAAGAACAAAGGCAGGGAGCCTGCGCTTCCCAGTAGAAAAGTAAACTGCACGTTTACAATCATGAAAAAGAGTGTTTCCTGCACATTTACTGCTGTTATAGCCAGTGCTGTCGTGCTCTTCTTACCTGTGTCAGGCACTGTCAGGAACAGCTTTCCCTTTATTGACCCCTTTGATCCTCGCATTAATCTCGTGGTACAGCTAAGGAAACTGCTCTAGGACAGCCTGGTCTGCCCCAGGCCCTGTTCTAAGCACTTCACATCCAGGATGTCAGTTAATTCTCACAGTACCCCCTGAGGTAGGTACTGTTACTAATTCAGTCCAGCTATGATATATTAATGCTATAGAGAAGATGGCCCATTGAGCTTCAAATGGGCCCAAGACCCATCAGGTGAAAAAAAGTTACAGAATGACATATGTCTCATTTAAGGGAAACACAAGAAAACTCCTAACCTGTATACACTTGTGTATAGGGATGTAAGTGCACAGAAAAGTGTCTGGAAGGAAATGAAATGAAACCCACGTCATTACCTCTGCAGAGGGGAGAAGGGTGGGGACTTTCCCTCTTTGCCTCATGTATTTCATGGACCTTTTCCTTCTTTTTTTTTTTTTTTTTTTTCCTTCTTAAATAGTAAAATACAGGGCTTCCCTGGTGGCGCAGTGGTTGAGAGTCCACCTGCCAATGCAGGGGACACGGGTTCAAGCCCTGGTCTGGGAAGATCCCACGTGCCGCGGAGCAACTAGGCCCGCGCGCCACAACTGCTGAGCCTGCGCTCTAGAGCCCGCAAGACACAACTCCTGAAGCCCGCGCGCCTACAGCCCATGCTCCACAGCAAAGAGAAACCACTGAAACGAGAAACCCGTGCACCACAACGAAGAATAGCCCCCTCCCACTGCAATTGGAGAAAGCCTGCGCGCAGCAACGAAGACCCAACGCAGCCAAAAATTAATTTAAAAAAAATTTTATAATAAAACAAGAACAGGATGACGTAAAAAAGGAAAAAATAGAGAACAAGAAAGGGCTCTTGCAAATTAAAAACATGATGGTTAAAAGTAAAAAGGAGAAGGAAAAGGAGAAATA